TCGACTTAATCACCACTTTTCTCAATGCGCTTCTTCCATCTGGTTTCTAAAGCCAATTATATCGTTTTCAAAAAAAATTAACCATCTTGGCCTTCAAAATAGGCATTAACGGCAGCTTCAATCTCTTTGTGTGGTGAAAATGTCTGTCCTCCTAAATGTTATTTTAGATTGGGGAAGATTTGTAAGTCAGATGGTGCCAATTCAGGCAAATAAGCGGGGTGTGGAATTAATTCGAACCCACAAATATAGATATAAGCCATTGTTTCGTAGGACGTGTGAGGGCGTGCGTTGTCTTGATGAAACAACACTGTTTTGGTTAACATTCCTGGGCGTTTTTTCTTAATTTCATCACAAAATCGACGACGAGCATGGGAAGCCCCCCTTACCCTGCCCCCGTTGCGGAAATGCATAGTTTATGAGTAATAATTTTTTTTTGTAAAATCATAACCTCACTTTTTTATACAGGAATATTGACGCAAAGTTACTTCTGCAACGGCTTCGGCACTGCCGGAAGTGCAGCGCAGCCTCGGTTCTAGGCTCGGCCTCCGCAGCTTCGGTTTGGTCGCCTTCGGCGACCAGCCCTAACCGCTACGGCTCACTTAGTGCCTGCGATTTGCTACAGCGGGCGGGGGCTGCTCTCTTTCCGTGCCTACGGCTTTACAAAAACACTCTAGGGGTAGGGCAGCAAGACTGAGACAGAGTCGGGGTGTGCTAATTCGGTTTTAGAACCGATTCGACCAATTTTATTCATAAAGTCTGGTTGCCCTTAACTCTGCTATTATAGTGGTAAATGAAATAATGTAATGTGAATTGTTATACTTTTGTTTTCCGAAAAACCTCTTGACTTCTCTCCACTGCGACTCAATTTGTTGTATATGTCTCCAGCCACAAATGGATTTTCAGGGTCCGAGTGATAAACTTTTTTATGAGTGTATCTGTGTTAAAAAAACAAATTGTCATATTTGCGTTTCGTTATATGCAATTTTTATTGAAATTTATTTTTATCGTAATTAATTCAAAAGGCATTTCCGAAATCCAAAAACGGTTTAAATGGTTCGAGCTTAACCCTGACAATCCTCCTAAATTGAAAAAAATTAAAAAATCAAGTACCGGACATCTACTTCATAATACGAGAACAAATTGACATATTTGCGTTTCGTTATTACACAATTTTAGTGAAATTTGTTTTATCGTAATTAATTCAAAACGCATTTCCGACATCTAAAAACAGTGTAATAGGTTCAAGCCCAACCCTAACAAGCCTCCTAGACTAAAAACATTATCAAAATCAAGTACCGGATGTCTATAGCCAACCCGGTTACTTTTCAATTTTATTAGTAAACTTCATATACAACCTACATATTAAGTTTGTCTGGCCGCCCATGAGCGCCAAAGACATTGAACGGGTGAAACGTAAAACATCTTAGGTATTTCATTTTCTGATAGATGTCACTTTAACCACTCTATACAATAAAAGTGGTAATAATATTTCAAACGAAAATAATTAAAATGGTTTAATTTATTTTGCTATAATTCCATGTGATGTGTATGTTCTTATTTTTTATTTTCAAGTTCATAATATATAAACTAAAAACCGTCTCTATCTCGCAGTTTTGATAGATGGCGCGATTATTCATTTTTATTTTTACCATTATCAACTTATAGTCAATGATTTCAAAAGGAAGGATAGGCCCTTCTAAATATTTTACTCATAACTTTTTCATACAAGAAAAAGTGGCGCAACTGTCATAATACAAACTTCATATGAAAACACGACGTAACCAGTGTCGGATTTCGTAGTATAATTATCCTATTTGTATCATTATTTCGTAGTTTGTAGTATATAGTATCGTAATAATATAAAGCTAAAATACCATAATTTTACCTAAAGGTCGACTTGTATTATTATTGGGTCCTTTTAAATTTTAATATTAACCCTACGATATCGAGAATTTTTTATTGTACATGAGTACCGCGTTTTCTTAATCAAATTAGCATTAGCTCCCTTTCTGATCAATCGATGCTCGATCAATGCATTTATGTTGCATCCTTGATACAACTTTAATGAGTAACTACCAAAATAAAAACTCTATGTTCCAGAAGCAACGGTTTGAAAACAGAATTTCAATATATTTTATGAATCAGATTTTCAGATTTTGACTTCTCTCCACTGCGACAGCAGATATGGTTTCTTTTGTTCTCTTTTCGTTTTACCCTAATTGAATATAAAATATATTAGGTACCCATATTCAAAACTTAACTTACACTAAGTTCTTTAGACAAAAAATAAACAGAAATAAAAATAAAACCGTCAAAAAACGAAACGTATAGATAAACTAGACGCGTGACGCCAAAATCCCGGCACATGGGAAAAAAGAAACATGAAGCGTCAAAGTTGATATAATTTTTTTAATTTCCATGTTCCAATAGTTTTGAGGGACTGAATGCAGCCCTGGCCTAATTTTGGTAACGTAACTAAACTGTAAAATAAAACCTAAAATGCGTTTATATAATAATTTAATTGTAACAAAATTAATAAACCGATGATACGATATCCCATGTTTTTTTTTAATCTTTGTTTCGTAATTTTTGCATTCTTTTACCACGCAACTAGACATATTTATGACAGGCAAATCTGTCCTGCGAGCGCGCTACTGTCGTCTGATTCGCGTTGGCCCTAAACTGTAATTTTAGCGCCAGCGCACTGGTCCGTTTTAGTTATTCGGTTGGCCCGGTCCTTACGCTAGTAATATCTGAGTCAATGCTTATAATACATTTATTTTGTGGGAAGACCACTGGCTTCTGAGATACATTAACTGAAGGCAAAACAAGATGCACCTTTGAATAGGTTGCACTGTTTTATGGCTTCAAAGCTTCAAACCACAAACTAATTGTAAAGCAAATTATGATATAATGGCGATCATCTATTGCCTTATGAACAGTGCATCTACGAGGAGCTAGCAAAGACATAACTTAGTGTAGACATAGATAATTTGTGCAACATTTGAGTCAGGTGTGGAAATTACTAACAATTTACAAATATAATGCTGAAACAAAACAGTTACAAAAGGTTTTGAGCTTCATGTATCCATTACACTGCTGGAAATAATAATGTTATATGGTACAACTCCTACACTTTTTTTTAATTTAAAAACAGTCAAATTCTAAATAATTTATTTCAAGTTTATTACAAATATCCCATGAAATTCATAAAGTAAACCATCAAAATTTAAATTACTTAGTTTAACAGCAGTCTTAGCTGTGACTTAGAATATTTAGATAATAATAAAATAAGTTACACGTAATTATATAATATGCGGTAATAATACAATTTCAACTAATAATTCATTCTGACTTGGTTAAATCGGAATCTGAATCATCGGGAATTTGGTATGTCTGTAATGTCAAAAAATTTATTACTTAATTACAACAGTAAGTAATACTGCAATAAATTTTTAGCTACTTATATTAAAACTTTGTAAATTTACAAACCATGCAACATTGCTATATTAACAGTGTAATTTGTACAAAGTTGAAGCAATAATAAAAATACGTACATAAACACTCACGCCTGTCACCCAGATGGGTAGGCAGAGACTACAGACTTCCACTTGGCACGATCCGGACAAACCTCTATCGCCTTCTCCACATCCATATACCTACGCATACATGCTCGTCTGTTAAGGGTAAGTACTCCTAATTTGGGCTATTTACAATATATCGCCAATTTGGTCGATAAACTTTCGCCCAGGACGTCCCTATCCAACTCTGCCGTTCACTTCTGCAACATAAATTTCCTTTATCACTCTTTCCTCATTCATTCTTTCCACATGATACACATATCAAAAATATCTTGATTGTCTTTTAGACAGAGAATTATGAGAATCTTTTTAGTATGTGTGCGTGAAAACTAACATTTGTTGGATATCAAAAAAAAATATATCAATTTGTCTTATTTATCTATTGAGCCACCGAGTTAGTTATTCACTCTTATGGCAATGTAAAATTTGACCCGCACAAAGTTCAAAAACTTTATTAAACTAAGTTTGAATAAAAAGGTTAATTTTAATATTAAGGAATTTAAGGATGATAATAACCCCTGGGAAAGGTGATTGGTACCAAGCTGTTTCTAATTTGTTTTGTGTTGTTAATGGTAACATATGTGAGGGTAAGCTGTTTTTTTATAAAGTCCCACTGGGTTTCTTGGCTGGTTTTTTCCAGGACAGCGGTTTTCTTCCAAACCAGTGATAAATTAAAAAAGTGTATATTTATAATTATACAATAAGTATTATTTAGAATCAATATTGAACAATAAAGTTTCTGTTACGCAAGAACCAGACTATGAGATAAGCATAATATAAATATGACATATGAACTGCCATAAAGTAGAAAGAAAATAGTGACAAAGTAAATTTATGCTGCAGATTTTAATCAAATCAAATTAACAATATACTGAATACGTGTAGAAAAATCGATGTGGAAGCTAGATGATGAGGTGTCGGGATTATGCCAAATGGAAGTCTGTAGTCTGTTGTCTCTGCCTACTTCTCTGGGTGAAAGGCATGAGAATTTATGCTTTAACTAGCTGGCCAGGTAGACTATTCTGCTGTTTCTGATGACTCTTGCTACTTTAAAAAATTCTTAAATTTGGAATAAACAGGGGCACTTATTGGGATAGAAACGATTCTATCTCTCAAGTTGGAGCAAGGAATATACATATACAGTTTCATTAAAATCAGTTCATAAGTTTAGGGAGTTTATCGCAGTACATAATTTTTATATATAAAACATGTATGTATAAATTAAAATAACTATAATGTACATATCATCTATATGGGATAATAAATAAATAATGTATTTATTATTAAAGTTCTTGTTAGTTACAATAACCTCCAATTAACTTAATATTTATAACATTTAATAAATTGTTAAAAATATTAATTGAAGATTAAATAATATTAACATTTTTGTAAATAAATACAACTATTTAGAACAAACATTTAAATTGGTGAAGATTCAGTTTTAATTAAATCAGTATTTGGAGGGTTCACAATTGCTGTTTCATCCTTAACTCTAACAGATGCAGTCTTCGAATTAGCCGAAATAAGATATTTATGTTTCATTCTAATATGTTTACGTACAGAATCCCTCCCATGAAATTTAACATCACAATGGGGGCATGAATACTTCTTTTCTTCAAAATGAATTCTTTCATGTTGATTAAGCTTCTGTACACAAAAAAAGAACATACCACAAATTGTGCAAGGAAAATTTGTGCCAGTGTGTTTTCTTTTATGTCTTTTCACTGTGTCAGATCTATTAGATTTGTATTCACACAAATCACACTTAAAGATATATTCTTGCCTTTTATGAACTTTACGCCTATGGTTACAAAGCTCAGCGCTAGTGAAGAATGTTGAGGCACATTTTTCACAAGTGTATGATTTAACACCACTGTGTCGCTGCATGTGTGGTCTGTAGCTTTTCTTATTAAGCATTTTAAAACAAATGGAACACGGAATTTTGGCATCAGTGTGACTTCTGAGATGCCTGTACACTTTTACTCTGCCTTTTACAAATTTACCACAAAAGTGACAAGTGATCTCCATTTTATATTCCTTGTGCGCACTCTCCTTGTGAGTTTGGAGTGAACTAAGCTGTGTGAAGGTGTTTGAACACATCTCACACTGAAATGGTCTATCCCCACTATGTATCACTAGATGTGTTTGTATATCCTTCACTCTTTTTGTTTTGTAAGCACACTCCTTACAATGAAACACTCTAGCTTTACCAACACCTATTATGTTTATCATTCCACTAGCAGCTACTGTACAGCTTTTTCTCTTTGTTTTAATATGAGTGTGATATGCTTTATAGCTTTTAAAAGCCCTTTTGCAACTTGGACAAATCAAGGAGCTGAGCAAATGAGTCTTTTTCCAATGAACTCTTAATTTACACTTACTTTTAAAAAAGGAACCACAATCGTGACATTGTAGTTTTGAGTTTAATGAAACATTTTTATCCTCTCTTTCTGAACACTTATCAGACACATATACTTTTAATAAATCATTATCTAAATTCTCCACTGATGTTGTTATTTCATCATTCCCATTGTCAAGGAAATGATCTTTTGCAGTTGGAGACTCCTTCTTAACGATATCAGAAGAAATTTTGCTCTCAATTATTTTTTCTAGGGGCATTGAGTTTAAAAGATAATTGGGTGTCAATAAATCATTATCTAAATCCTCCACTGATGTTATTATTTCATCATTCCCATTGTCAAGGAAATGATCTTTTGCAGTTGGAGACTCCTTCTTAACGATATCAGAAGAAATTTCGCTCTCAATTATTTTTTCTAGGGGCATTGAGTTTAAAAGATAAGTGGATGTTTCGCACTTTGTTTTAAAGTTCACAGCAGTCTCTAATTCTAAGTAACAATTAGAACATATAGAATCGGGTAACCCATCGTTTATCTTAATTTGAATATTTGTAATTATATTTATAAGATCATACAGGAAGATATCTCTGTATTTTTCAAGGAGTGATGTAAATTTTTTCACTTTTGCGCTCAAACATACCCGACAAATAGTGGTGGTCTTTATTTCTTTGTTCATTTTTCCTTAGAATTTATTATTTATTTACAGTTAAATATACAAGTTGTTGTAAATTTCCAATCTTTTTAAATTATAAAACAGTATGCCATGCATGTTATGATGTTACTAAACTGTGGTTTCGTCTTGCATTTGACAAAAACAATAACTTTAGTTCTTCTTTTGTAATCACCAAAGATAAGAGCGTATCAGCGTAATTACGATGATTACTAAATTAAGTAATACAAATTATTACATTCAAATTCAATGATTAAAAATAGTTCATATTTAAATTCAATTATATTCAAATAACAAGAAAACTGCATTATCTATGGAAAACTGAAGAACACAGCTGAAGAACAACAAAAAAACATTACAGTAGAGATGTTCGATGATCATCGATGTTTTGACATCGATGTTGCCACTGTCAAACTCGAAACATCGATGTCAATGGACTAATAATCGATAAATAAGAACTTGTTAACAATGCGAATCCGCGAAATTAATATCAACTAAACATTTCATCTCATATTAAGAGCCTATACTACCTCAAATGGTTTAGCATGATCCTATGTTTGCCGAAAATACTGCAGCATTGTTTTTGAAATAAATATATGGTGAAGTTTATGATTAATGTTAAGTACTACGTTAGACGAAAACACGATTCCATAAAATTTTCTCGATAGAAAAGAAATCCAAAGTTACCTCCAAACCGAATTATAAAGTATTTAAAAAATACTTTAAATTAAATCATAAAACTTTGCATACTAACTGAACTAACAATAAAGCAGGGCTTATGTTTTTTATTTTTTTTAATTATCATTATTTTTTCCGTAAATAGAAATTACCTAAACTATCGTCGTTTTAAAGTTTGTTTCCTGCCGCCCGATATTAAAATATTAAAATAGACATATAAGGCTGCAGTACACTACTTGCGAAGTTCCTCGCCCGAAGTATTCTCCGAGGTACAACGAGCCTCTGTACACATTTGCTCAACTTCGTGAGGAACTAGTCGCTAACACGCTAGGCGAGATGAAGGACATACAAGTGGCAGCTGTGTTTGCTTTGTGCACTGTTACGTATTTTAACCATGTGCGTATATTGGATGCAAAAAAATAATAATTTCCAGAGTCCCATATTACCGTTTCCCCCTGGAGCAACTCCAAAAGCAATTGTATTTGCTCTTGTGTTAAAACGTTTTTCTCTTGAATTAAAACGTTTTTAAAATAAACATCACAACATTAACTTTATAGAAGTAAGCCGAGTAATGTACGGGGTCACTTAGTGCTCGAAACTTCAGTCTTTTGACTCGGGCGGAAAAAACAACAACGATCGGAAGTCACCCGAGGCGAGGCGAGGTTGCTCGAAGTGAAGCGAAGTGTCCCTGTACACACTCGTCTTTGTCCAACTTCGCACCGGTCTATAGCGGTCGTGCCAAGCAGTCAGCGCTCCCGTCCCCGTACGGCAGCATACCTCTCACCCTCGCGCCTCCGCTCTCCCTCTCACACCAGCCGAGCAGTCGCTGTCGGTGAGTCTTTTGTTTTTCGCATCGTTCTTGCCCCCTCGCTTCGGCGGGGAGGTTCGAGCGCGCTTTGCTTGTTATTGTTTTATTTTATAATTTTTCTGTTATTGTTTTTGTTATACTGTTACTGTATTGTTGTTGTTGTTGTTTCTTGTAAGAAAGTCTCTTGTTCTTCTCAGAACAAGCCCTTGTTCTTATCAGAACAGAGGGACCCCAGCTTCTTAGAATAAATCGTCAGCCCACCCCCTCTGCCACCCAAGGCCCTGTTCTTCTCAGAACAAGGACATCTAATTCTTAGTTTAAAATCGTCGTAAACTCCCCTGTCCACCATAGACCTTAGCCAAGTTTTAGCCTTTCTCTCCTGGTATTTCAAAGTTGACGAGAAAGCTCTCGTCAACGCACTTACCCCCCTTACCCCTAAGGCATGTGTCCCCCGGCCTCCGTCGCGGCTTTCCTAGCGGTCCAAGAGGCTGCCCCGCAGACTGACTCGCCCACTTCTCCTGACTCCGACACGGAGTGCTCGGACACCACGTCCGTTACCTCATCTTCTCGTAAGAGGACCACCCATAGTTCTACCGCCTCCGGCTCCTCGGAATCGTCCGACTCCAAAGGAACTGTTACCGATTCGGCCTCCTTCACCTTAGTTGAGTCCAAGCGCGGCCCGAAGCGCGCCGTGATTTCACGCTCACCCCCCGCCCCGGCCGCCCCTGCTGCCACTGCCTCTACCTCCGCAGCCCCCGCCGCTGCCTCTACCTCTGCAGCCCCTAACGCTGCCTCCTCTCAGTCGCAAGACTCCCTTTCCAAGGCAGCAACCCGCTGCGCTCCCAAGCTAGCCAAAAGTCAAGCCCTGGCCCCTGTCTTTCTCAGAGACAAGGCGAAGTTTACTAAATTGTTCAAAACCCTCTACGAAAAGAGATACAAATATGATCAAGCCACCAATGTCGGCGAGGCCATATAAATCATGCCGGCGTCTATAGAAGACTTCCGAAACATCACCCGTTACTTCACGGCCGAGCGTGTGTCCTAACACACGTACGCTCTCGTCGAAGGAAAGAAAGTTAAAGCTAGTCCTCCGCGGAGTTCCCTATGAACTCGCAAACGAGGACATATTAGATGTCCTCAAGTCCAGGGGTTTCCCTGTCCAGACTGTGCACAAGAAGCACAACAGCACTAGAGAGAGGTTTAACCTCGCCCTCGTCGTACTCACCAACATGCCGGAGGCAAAGGCCATTTTTCGCAAGGTACGCACTGTGTGCGGCCTGTCGCGTATAAAGGTTGTAACTCCACACAGGCGTGGTTACCCGGCGCAGTGCCAACGCTGCCAACTTTATGGGCACGTGGCGGGCAACTGCTCAGCCCCACCCAGGTGCGTGAAGTGCCTTGAACCCCATCACTCGAAAGACTGCCCTCAGCCCAAAAACGCTGAATCCCCACCCGCATGTGTCCTGTGCGGACAGACCGGCCACCCGGCCAACTTCAGAAGCTGCCCTCGCGCGCCTCGCCCTCTTTTTAGCAAAGCTCCTCCACAGGTCAATGACCAATCTATCCCGGCTCTTCCAAGCCGCATGCCTCGCCAGGGCTTGCCCCTGCCTCAGCCCCCTCAGGACGTATCTCAGCCCTCTCAGGGCATCTATCGGTCCCCTTAGGGCCTCTATCGGCCACCTCAGGGCCCTTCTCGGCCCATTATAGGCCTGTCTCTTTCACAGCTCCCAATTAACCCTTGGGCCCCAAAAAAACAAACACCCCGCAGCCCTCCACCGCCCCACAACAGGCAGACCCTATAATCGACGATATTAGCTTAGTGTATACCACTATGCGTAACGTCAACTTAGTACACAACATACATATATATGACATATACAACTTACAATTGAGTAATAATAAAGAACAATGATTCATTCAAATTTAATTTAAGATTTTATGGTAAATGATATAAGCATTGTTTTACTTTAAAAAATATGTTTTATGTTATATTAAGACTAAATAATTAAGGATGTCCGGCCTTTTTACCAAAATGTCCGGCTAACCTGGATGGTCTGTCCGACTTTTCACTTAAAAATTTTTATTTAAATTTCTGGGACACCATTTTCTACGGCGATCGTTCTGCTGTTCTCTAACCTCCATGCCTAATGTAATCTATGACACTGACACTAGTGGTGTGTGTGTAGCGGTTTAGGGGGTTTTTTTTTTTGTTGTTATTATTAATAATATATATTTAATTTAGGTCGTTTTGCCCCCGGCGACCCCACAAGAAAAAAAAAGGGGGGGGGGGGGTGTTTTTTTTGTTTGGTGGGTGGGAAATAGAGGGGGTGGTTTTAAAAGGAGGGGGGGGTTTTTTATTTTTTTTGGTTTTTTTTTTATTTATTATTGGTTGGGGGGCTTTTTTTTTTTTTTAAAGGTGTTTTTTAATTGTGGTCTCGGGTTGGGCTGTGTGAAAACCCTATAAAACAAAGATCTCAAATAAAATTAAGATACGGCTTAAACAAGCATCCAAGCCAAAAAACTTAATCAAAAAATATGAAGGATAAAGCAAAGTAATAATATAAGTATAAGTAAAATACACATACATTATATACAATGTCTTTGCGGAAAGGTATGGAAAGTAAGACTATCTCTGTGTATGTAAAATGTTACCCTCGAAATGCGTTAAATTAAGCTGGCGCTACTATAGCAGCGAGGTAAATTTAAAAAATATTTTATATTTAAAAAATTTAATTGGACGATTTTAAAAAGTATTATAACAGTTCACAATAAAAATTACTTAACGTATTTGAAGTTCACAAAAATAAAATCACTCCACGTTTTCTGACAGCAGTTATTTAGGTTATATTTAAAAAAAATTGGACTACGTGAACAGTTGAAGTTTTGTACATACTGTAAATAAGTACTCTAGTCACCAAAAATATTTTTTTAACTCGATACACTTCAATCCATCAACAACTGCTACATTTCACACATGAAAAATGACAAAAAAAGAAGTTCGAAGAGAAGTAGTAGTAGTAGCAAGATTGCAGAAAATCCATCCAAAAATGCTGGGCAGATTCCACAGACTAGTGATGAAAAGCAGAATTATCATATCGACAGTATCGCGTCTACGACAAATTTCATATAAGGTAAATGTATAGTTACCGGCACGAGTCGTGAGCACACTTTTTATTGGTCGATATGACGTTGACCAGGCTGACGCTCAACGTGATTGGTTCGTCAGTCGATGCTTGTCGTCTATTGGGTTCGCAGGTATTTATTCATCTACCATGCACTTGAGAGCAATTTTAATCAGTTTGTTTTTGTTAATTTTGTTATGTCTTGTTGTTATTGTGTTATTTCTTAATTAATTTAATTCAAGGAAGTTGGAGATGCTGGATTGGTTGAAAGAAAAGGGTTGGTATAATAGTAATAATATAAATCTTTACTTTAAAAATAATAATGGCAGTTTATACAATTGGTAGCCTTATCCAGTATGACAATCCTTTACAGATAGATATACAGCAAGAAGAAGCAATGTTTGATCCTGAATTGTATAATATAATTAAAACTAATAAAGCCAAATACAATATCAACAATATTTGCAAGATATGTATTCAAGTAATCATTTTCATAAAAATCTGCGAAAATATTCAATTACCAATTGAAATTATAAAGGTACCAAATAATTTTGTCCGACAGTATACGTACGCTAACTCAACCCCACCACAGTTCATCTGTGCTCACGACTCGTGCCGGCGATTATACTAATTTATTGCGAGTAGCGAATTCTTTAAAAGATAAATTTTAGTTACCTACTGTTTTTGTGACTTGGAAAGATTTCAATCTAATTCATCATATACTACATATATGATGAATTAGATTGAAATCGAATTAAAACACAGGTTGTTTTTAATAAATATATATTATGTTCATATTCAGGGTTTTTTTATAATACATATCACTTCCATATACATAAACATGTTTCAGTTACATTTTATTTGCAGATCTATCCTTAACGAAATGTAAATACTACACTTAAAGAACTTACAAACATACAGAAAAACAATACCTAAAAATATAAAACATTAAGATTCTAAGAAGACTAGTAAAATCTTTTTAACGGGGTGTAATTTTAGTGTCACAATTAAAAATTTCATACAATGTATCTACACAATTTGGAATTAAAAATAATTAATAATTTTAACTAGTTACGTAGCATTTTATATAAAGTACCAGCAACTCTAAAATCATACCCCTTTTTAACTGAATAACAACATTTTCAAGACTCAGAAGCATATCGTATTGGAGTTACAAAGAATATCTAATAACATACATATTTTCTACATACTTATCACATATGTTCAGGTAAGGCCAGTTTTCCTCACACTATTTCTTATTGCCTAAAAAATGGTATAAACACAAGTTCATTTACAACTTTTAAATTAAAACCGTAAATATATATATGCACTTATAATTTACTATTATAGGATATTGAAAAAAATCCGAGATGTAACATAAAATTTATTTTCTGTTGCATCATAAAATCATAGTAACCACTTTCGATGTTACAGTGAATGTGTCCGACCTATTACATCATTAGAAACTCTGAACCCATTTTTAGTAATTTTATTTTAAAGTTACTTTCTTTTTCGAACACTACAACAAAACTGCAACCTGTATTTTCGCAAAAATCGCCTTTTCAATAATTTTGCAAAGCAATATTTTTTTGGTTGCACATATATTTATCGTTTTTGTTGTAAGATAAATATATAAAATGACTACTTGCTCGTTGGTGCCTAAAGCTTAAGATTTGTTGTAGCAACAACAGGTACTGTAGGTCCAACCATATTTGACCGAATATCTGATTTAAACGGTAACATTTCTACATTTAGACTATCTGGCCTTATTAAAACACATCTATAGTTTTTATTCGTTATGAGATAAAACAGATAACTACACTAAAACTAAGGCACAATTCTCAGACGTATAGTAAAATATTCATTCACTAATAAAAACCTTGGTCCCAAAATTATTCGCAGACATCATCCTATTCGAAAAGTTTGACAATGTTGTACTTATTATCTATGGCCCAATACAGAAATATATACAATGCACGTTGTGGTATAAAAGTCGACCATTAGATCATTTTTTAATTAAATAATTAATCCTCATGTTTGTTAATAAACAAATAATAAAATGGGACACTTTGGCTTACAGCTATTTTGATCTATGGTCCACTTCTAACAAAAAAGTTTTAGTTAATGTATTATCCTGATTTTAACGTTCAATATTATGTATAAAATCTTGGCACTAGGATACTACAACTATAGAATTTTCAGAGTATTTTAAAATAGTATTATCTAATAAATGTAATTCATATAAAGGAACATACAGATCAACTAACAACAATTTCTCACAAAAGGGATGAGTATAAAATATAATTTTTATGACATCTCTACTTTGTTCATAAAATATTCATTTTACTTTAGCAACCTTAAACAAATGATATATATAACGCAATAAACAAACGGTCTTACTCATAAAAATCAATGTCATCACAAGATATGCTTAAAGTTGTTCATTTGCCCTTTGTTATATTATGTCAATAGAAAAAGACAGATACAAGGTAGAATATTTAAGTAAAGTAAGCGATAATAAACGATTATAAGTAAGAGTAAGACCGATAATGTTTATCGATAAGTAAAAAATATGAATCAGGAACAACTCTTCGTTCACTCTAGCTAAATGTTATTAGTTATAACCTCATGCGTATTGCGTAAACTATTATATACTCGTTTGATTTCTGGTATTTATGAAATTTAAAGCATTGATATAAATAACTCTTTGATCTGTACACAAATCAAAGATAATAATTCAATACCTTAAATTAATGTAATAGTGGGTAGGTACATAGTGTAAAGATATTTATATTGTACATCTTACATCTATACATATTATGTATATTTTATTGTTTTTGAATAACTATATATTTTTATAGCTTCACCGATACACTCGTGATATATTAAAAAAATTTTTTTTTTTTTTTTTTTTTTTTTTTTTTTTTTTTTTTTTGTTGTTTTTTTTTTTATTTTTTTTGGGGGGGGGGAAAAATTTTTTTTTTTTTTTTTTTTTTACTATGTGTATTCTATTACTTAGACTGATATTCGGTTCATTTTTTTAAAGTTTAGTTAATTACATTCGTATATCTAAAAATGTAATTTTTATTGGAACGATATATAAGTTATCGTTCTCAACGAAAATCGATTTGAATTAGTTTAAACTGCAATAGTTAAACGACGTTTATTTCATAGAATGAACCCCTTAAAAAGTATCTAATTTGAAATCTTATTTTAATGATATGAAAACTATATCGTGTCTTTAACATGCTTTGGTCACAGGGAATATACTACCTCTTTTCTCCAAATGCCAAGAGCATCTGACGCAGGGCGCCACAGTCCACACAGCCGTGTTAGCTCAGAACAAAGAAGCTACCCGATCGTCGTACATTTTACTTGCGAGCACGAGAGTCTCGCCAACACTGTTGTTATCTGTAATTTTAAGTCAAAACAACCTACGCCAAGGAACCTGCATGTCTGAAAAATTATATATTTAAAGAACATGTAAGGTTCCCCGACATTGGAAAAGCGCGACGAACTCAATTCTCTATAAAGCTAAGCTGTGGGACGGCTTAATCCGTTACCATATCTATTTTACTCTGCAGTAATATCTTTTTGTTTTAAAGTTTTTGGGTTAGAGGTGTTTATATTAAAATTTACCGTCGTTAAGTTTAATGCGGCTAAAACCGTCTCTCTAAGCACCGTTTCTTTTTGCTTTTGTTTCTTTTTGTCAAGGACCCGTCAAAATTTTAATAGTATTATTATCAATTAAAACCAAATAACGCTTAGTAATAAGCTAATTACGTTTATTTCGTTGCTGGTTTACGAGATAAAATTCGTATGGAAATAGTTTCCGTAGAAGATTGAAATATCGGGTGTCCACAACGTGCGATATTGAAAACGAAGACTATCTAATTAAATATATACTATTAAAGGAATCTCTTCAATCTGGTGGCTCTTGGTGAGAGCAGTGTGGCACTGGAGTTGGTGAGGATTTGAAGGCACGCGGGAAGAGAGAGGAATAAGAGGGAGGGGGCTCATATTCAGGAGGAGTGGGAGGAAGTGAAGCCGTGAACATCTGCTGAGAGGCTGCTGTCACTGTGACAGTTGGTGACAGGTCGATGCAAGATGCCGGAATGTTAACTGGTGTGTCTGAAGGCTTGGAACGTTTGCAGCAGCATTCTGTAAACATTAAAGTTTTAATAAGTGATGTCATTCAATTTAGCTACAGAAGAGTAAAAGATTGAAACTTCTAAACTTAAGCTTTCTTGAGGGAGGCCCATGTTCAGCAGCGGACTTATGAAGGGCTGTAATGATGATGATGAAAGTTAAGTTTCAAATGTGTATTATGGGTATCTGATGAGGGAGATTGAAATGTTGTCAGAATTTTGTATATGAGAGAGACATGTTAGTGTCGATGCCATGCAATCATTTTCAGCTAACGTTCCCATAGTCGTATTTTACAAGACACACGCTACGTTAAAACTATTATTTATTCTGTGGACACGGGTTAAGCCATTACACGGTAAAAAATCTGCACAAAACATTAGATACGAAGACTTGTTCAACAGTGTTCTACGTGTGTATGATATATTAAAATTAAAATCTAGAGGGCATAATAAGTCGCACACGCATTGTATTAGCGCAGTCGACATTCCCTTTTTTAAAGTTTATAATATACAGACTAGAGATACCCTCACAGATCAGGTTTAGATATTACAGCTATAGCATCGTGAAGAATTCTAGTTCTAGAGTAATCCGGGTTGGATCTCGGCGGCACCTATTAATTGTTAGTTGTAATTTTAATTGCTGATTTACCATTCGTCCATTTTTATTTCATGATGTATTCCGCCATAGAATACTATAATACACACTAGAATGGCTGTCAACTTTATTTTATACGAAGATTGGCGTCGCCAAACCCTATTCGCTGTGTTGACAGACTGAATAAATGTACACATTTTAGACTTTTGATTAATTTTCAACATCATCATTTAAAAAAAAAACGTTTAAATTTTAATGCATATTTATTTGTAAATAGGGTGCAATTTGGCATTTTGTAAATAATTTGCATGCAAAATTTGTAAACGATTGTGACGTCAAAACATATCTCGTGTTGACATTTATACGTGTAAATTGACGTGTTAGTGACATTTTAGTGGCTACGCGGGGTCCGCCCACTTTCCCGTTCTATTATGTATGTATTATAGTATTCTATGTATTCCGCCAACACTGTACCAGCGTGGCGAACTAATTATGCCATAACTCCGCTCAGAAACAAAAGGAGGCCCGTGCCCGTAATCCAAAGTATATCGAAACGTCAAATGTATGTCTATGTCACAGTCAAAACTCATAACCGGTCAAAACCACCTTTGATTGTGAAAATCAGGCAAAAATGGTTTTGACCGAGGCCCTTAATCAAAAGCAGTTTTGACTAATATTTTAGTCAAAAATAGTTATGCCTGATTAAAACTCAGTTACAATAGCTTAAGGTGCGGCTGGGTGTCCCATGGGACACCCTAAAGCCGCATACATTATAGTGACATAAAATACACATATTACATATAAAATATAATATTAGAATTGACTTTTTTAATTTCAAAAAGTAGATGTCAAAAGTAGTTTTTACTAAATTCTTTGTCAAAATCACTTTTAACCGATAAAATTGGTCAAAATCACTATTACCCAATATTTTTGCAATTAAAAGTGGTTTTGGTTTTGGAATGTCCTTAGTCAAAATTAGTTTTGTCTATTTTTACAGTCAAAAGTGGTTTCGACGGGTTAAGAGTTTTGACTGTAACAACTATACCAAAATTCTGAACCATTTTACCCATAATTTTTTTGACGTCTCCATCGCGCAGTAGTTTAGCACAGTTACGGTGTTGAGGGCTGCGAGGGGTTCGAATCACGAACGGAGCAAGTATTTGTTTGGCCTACAACTAATTGTTTCTGGTCTGGATGTTTGTCCTTATGCAATATGTATGTAAACTGCCACACGATACAGGAAGAAAGCCTAGTGTGGGAGATTATTTAAATAGTGTGTAACGTCTTTAAAAAAATAAAGAGAGCAAAAAAGAATTTATAACCATATCAATATCAGGCAGACATAAACACCACTACTGTAATCAAAGTTCAAACGGACGTACCCCAGGCCAGACAGAACATGAGTATAGTGGCGCAGACGAGCATGCCCACCACCAGGTAGCTCCACGGCCCGTACGGTTTCAGCGCCGCAGCGAACTCCATGAAAGCGTTCTTCTTTTGCTCACCCTCGCTGATCTTCACTGAAAATTTCAAATCACCTACTTTCATTTAAACTGAGCTTTTGTTAAATTTATTACAATTTTATTTATTTTATAATAATTTATCAATCACAAGCTTAAATGTTGGATTTAGAAAATTTTATACGTGGTAGAGCCATGCTGCAGTTATATTAGTAGTATTAGTTGTATCATGAATGGGTCGGCTCGACCGGGGAAGGACCACGCTCTCACAGAAGACCAGCGTAAAATAGTAGCGTAATACTGCTGTGTTTCGTATGGTGAGTGTAGAGAACCGGAGATCCTTTTTACAGAAAAGAGGTATTCCATCTTAGTCCTCACGGGTGACAACGCATCTGCATTTTGATTCGTAATTGAGGACGTAGATGTCTATGAGCCACAGCAACCACTTACCAACAGGTGGACTGTGTGCTGGTTTGTCACCCTGTCCTATGAAAAAATTTACCTTTAACAAAAAATTAAAGGCTTTGTTAAAAAAGAAACGATATCATTATTTATGTGCGCACTTTGTCAACGTTGACGTTGCCAGTGAAAGTCCCGTTAAAATCGGTCCGGCTATTTCGGAGATTAGGCGCAACCCGGAACAAACAGACAGATTTTTTAAAAATTGTTTTTGTTATAAGTGCCATATATACTTACGTATGTATTATAGTATTCTATCATAAAATACTATAATACACAATGGAATGGCTGTCAACCTTATTTTGTACGAGGATAGGCGTCGCCAGAAGCACACATACAAGCAATTACGTCGTATTATCAGTTAATCACTACTACAAGCCCGATTCGCTGTGTTGACAGACAGATTTAAATACATATTTATTAGTGAATAGCGTGCAATTTGGCATTTTCTAAATAATTTGCATGCGAAATTTGGAAACGATTATAACGTCAAAACACATCTCGTGTTGACATTTATACGTGTGAATTGACGTGTTAGTGGCATTTTAGTGGCTACACGGGCTCCGCCCACTAACCCGTTCTATTATGTATGTATTATTGTATTCTATGGTATATACACTTTATAATTTAGTAAAAAGCTGTTATTTTGACATTACAAACAGACACTTCAAGTTGTATAGCTTTGCCTGAAACCTGTTATGGCGCAATCCACAGCTGTAATACAGTTTTCGTTCTGGCTTGCCGGTCTATAAGTATACAAAGAAGTTTTTGTCTCTACTTTGATGTATGGTAGCGAAGTTGACTGTGGCAGAAGAAGCACGAGAGTTTTGATTAATGCTGTGTAATTGCGGTCATTAAGGAGTACGCCACCATTGACTCTGAAGACGGGGTCAGCAATTGATAATAGAAAAGTGTGGTTTGCAAGATGTTGCAACTATGATTAAGAAAATAATCCTTCTGTGGTTTGGTCACGTAGAAAGAATGAATGAGGAAAGACTGACAAATAAAATTTATGTTGCAGAAGTCTGACATCCTAGACCACAATTTATTGGCCAAATTAGCGATATATTAAATATGAGCCAAATTAAGAGTAATTTCAACCGACGAGTGTGTATGCGTAGATATATGAGCGTGAAGGAGGCAAGAGAGGTGTGTCAGGATCGTGGCAAATAGAAATGCGTAGTCTCTGCCTACCCCTCTGGTTAAAAGGCGTGAGTGCTTATGTATGAATGTAATAGTTAAACTCACTTATAACCGAAGGCTTCGTCATGCCATCGGGCTGATCCAGACCCAGCAGTTCCTGGTTTCTCGCGGCGAATCTGCGTAGTAGTTCGAGGAACGGCGGGTCGCGTCTATGGGAACACGCGCTCGAGTCCTCGTCTTCGCCTCCAGGACAGTGGCGGACCCCGTCGCAGACCAAGTACGATGAAATGCAGAGGCTGGTTACGCCGCAGATGAATTGAGATTCGTTGTTGCATATTGCGCCTGGAAAGTGTATAACACTGATGTTTAATATATGTTTCAAATCCACAAGCAACTGAACACAGACAATTTTTTTTTAATAATACCTTCGAATTATTTTTTGACAATTTGACATATTTTTATACGTTGTAAAGCCACCTGCAACTATTATGGCTGTAGCACGAATGGGTTGGCTCGACCGGATTACGGCCGAACTAATGTGCTGTGTTTTGTGTGGTAAGTGTAGAGAAATGGAGATCAGGGGTGACAACGCATCTGCATTTTGATCCTTAATCGTTTAAATGTAGATATGTCGTATAGCCTCCATTTACCATCAGGTGGACTGTGTGTTCGTTTTTCCCGTTGATTCTGTAAAAAAACCTTGTCAAAATGACAAGTGGTAAAATGGCTTATAATGTGTACATCCTAACTTTACAATTAGATATTTAAAAACAAACAATCAGTTATGACGAGTTTTAATGAGGCTGATGTTTACTCCTGGTATTTAACTTGAGTAGAATGCATCTTATTTGGAAGAGCACCCAGTAGAGCCGGAAAGTGAAGTATTCGGGAGCTAGAAATGCAGTAGCATTTATGCAGGCTATACGAGTACATAGCTGCAGCACAAATGAGTCGGCTCGACCGGGGTCGGACCACGCTCGAGAAAATGCTGCTGTGCTGTGTTTCGTATGGTGAGTGTAGAGAACCAGAGACTTTTTTTTTACTGGTAACGAGATATTCCATTTTAGTCTTCAGGGGAGATAACACATCTGCATTTTGATTCTTAATCGACTCGGATGTCAGGTGAACTATGTGATCGCTTGTCACTTTTATTCTAAAAAGAAAGTAACTAGGTGAGTATGTTATAAAATATAGCTCTACCGACTATAAATATAGCTACCAACTATAAATTACCTACCACTGTTAACAGCAGTGACCACAAGACGCAGTTTCTCCGTGTGCTGGTAGGGCGTGGTGGGTGGATTCCAAACGATCCTGATCTTCGGCGGCAATAGTTTGGTGCCCGCTTTAGCCGCGACCTGCGCTGCGTTACCGCCACAGAGCGACAGTCGCCATATTGGATTTTTGGCGTCGCCGATGTACTGCGAAAATTGAAAATTAAATACAATATACATTATTTTTTATTTTTAGTAATTCAGTTAAGTTTAATTTTTTTTAAAGTGAAATTTTTAAGTCAAAAATATAGATATTTAGATGCTAATAACATATCGTATGCAATATTTCATACGACATGTATGGATATCGATATGGATTCGCACGGGTGATTTTTGGATTCCGACAACATATGCATGTGTTATATATAAAAACCTTCCTATTGAATCAATTTGTCTATTGATGAGAACAGTACTCAAAATCTACGCATTTTAAAAGATTTTAAAAATACCGACGGTGGTGAGCGACTTTTTTTTTAATACTATGTAGAGACTAATATTTCTTATAGACGACACACACGGTCAGTTCAACTGATCATTCCAACCGATCAGTTCAAACTAAAACTGTTGATTTTTTTTAAAAATATCAGACTTTCGATAATATATCGATAAATAAACTTATATATAAAACTCCGATATTGATATATTTAACGTGCAAAATACATGATATAAAATTAGATATCCTGTGAAGCTCTGTTCAACACCAGTAATCTGTATTTTAGATCTATACAAACTAATAAATTTGTTCCTTATGTTATAACAAAATATTTTCTGACTTCTGTATAATCTAAATAATTTATTATTGCTGGCCGCTGATAAAAGGTTATAACACTGTACCATAATTACTCGAACGATAATGAAAAAAACGACAATGTCCATAAGTGTCTCAGAAAAAAACGTAAACAAGTATTTATATTTAACATGACTTGACAATTATTGAGAATTCTATATCACTTCTAATTCTAATAACCTCGATTATTTACATATTTTCTATATCGGACGACATTAATAGCTATATATTTCCTTATTAAAGCGTTTTTTCCCAGGAAATACGTTCCGTCGGGACAGACTTATTCCACTTAACTTCAATTAACCCTCGCTCTCGTAAAACTAAATTAGTCGTAAGTGTTATTTTATATCTTTATTGTACTGCCAGTATCGTCTTACAATAAAAATAAAAAAGAGTAAAAAGGTTTATAGAGTCAAAGTTTATAAAACAATCATGCTAAAAATAGAAAAAAAATTTAAGGCTAAAAAAAGTCACATTTCCGTTTCGGAATTCGAACAAACGGGTCGGCCACACACATACGGAAATTGGAGCTTACAGCACCAACAGCATAAAATAAACAAGAAGAACAACCTGTTAATTTTATGTTGATTGTAATATGATCAGTTTGCAGTTAGTTTAATTGTATTTTTCCAGTTTTTTAAACATAGCTTGAATGAACATCCATTTGAATTTCAACCGAAGTCAATTAATATGTCGCTAAATAACAATCCTCCAGAAAGAATTTCGTTCACATCAGGCAGTCTCCACGGAGACCAGCCATCTGCGCAGGACTGGATTATAGTGTCTCTATCCCGTCTCTCTCATATTCCGATGGAACAATAATCCGATACGACCGGGGAGAGGTCAAGCGCAGGACCAATTGCTTTAGTTGCTTTTCGGTAAGTCCTGACTCCGGGGACCTAAAGATCATCATTCGCATTTATGTCCAAAGAGGCAGTTAAAGGAGGAGGATGACTATATATACGCTGTGTCCCTTGAAGGTCTATTACATTTCGTCGCAGCATAATCTCATTTCTGATAGAATTATTTAAGCTAAGAGTTTGAGTTAAAACTCAAGATTTTCTCTGAATACCGGCATAAATGGCACCACGTAATTATTTTATGGCAGTGTTTTCCTAGATATATTTATTCTGATTCAGTTAGATCAAGTAAACAACCACAAGAATTTCCTGTGGTTTTGTTTGTGACGGTAAGATTTCACGGAACGATATTTACCACAGCGGTAGCAGTATCAGGACACGCGGAATATAAGAAATGATACATATATGACTATAGTAAATTTCACGACCCAGTGGACATTTTATAGAATCAGGCAGTCCACGGTGCCCGCTCGACGCTCGTAAAACGGTGGAGATGCGGGCGCATGTCGGCTTGGTCTTCACCCGCAATCGATCCATTGCCAATCCCGCCTGACTTGCCATCATCTCCCGTTAGCGTACGTCATCTGCACAATCTATGGTCATGTGAGTTTGGAAATAAAGCCGCAGTTCATCTACCGGTGCGGGCGCGGATGAATATCGCTCCGTGAATTCTCATCTTAACACGATAGTAACTCGCTTACGTATCCTTCACGGATCGTATTTGTTGGACATCTGATATTCATGTTTTATCATTGGTTCGTTGCATGTTTGTGTTTCCGATGTTATTTGTTCAATTCAATTTATTAAGTTAATAATCTGCTTAACTCTTATTAAGCAGATTATTAACTTAATAAATTTAACGAAAAATTCGTCCATTAGGACATCATGTCAAATTAATTGTTATCTATAACCAACAACAATTCTTCGCTGACTGATATTTTATTTAATGACTATATAGATTGTTTGGTTTTTAGTTCCGTTGCGTACCTAAATATGTTTATCTAGAAAAGGTCTGATCTTGTCTGCAGCGAAGTATTATCTCTGAGTATAATATTATAATAATATTTGTACCTACGTCATAAGCTTGAAAAACGAGAGTTCGGATCGTTAAAAGGCGACCCTGGCGTATGAAAAAATAACTTTTATAGAATAAAGATTATAAACGAGCACGTACTCCACCTGATTGAAAGTGAATGCTGAGGCCCATAAACATCTACATTTATCCTCAATTAAGAATCAAAATGCAGATATATTGTCACCCTTGTGACTAAGATGAAATGCCCTGCTTCCAGTAAAAAAGGGTATCTGGTTCTCTACACTCACCATACGAAACATAGCATCATTTAGCTGCTATTTTACGCTGGTATTTTGTGAGAGTGTGGTACTACCCCAGTCAAGCCGACCCATTCATGCTACAACCACAATATGGCTGCAACATGGCTCTACCACCTATTCTTGCCCCTTAAATATTTTGTGCCCAACGCATGCTACAATCATAATCTAGGTGTAGCGTGGCTCTACCACGTATAAAAATTTCTTTTTATAATTCTCTCTACAACGTGAGATTTTCATATCATGCAGTGGATTTTACTGGCTAATGAATATGAAGGAGAAACCTCTATCTTTACAAAGTGATGGCTTAAGCATGCTAGGAGTCGATGGGCTCAGTCAAGGCCCGAATTACCTTTAAGCCTAAATAGGCCTGGGAGTGCGGTGCAAAAACGCAGCTACAAAACTCTGGTAGATAAGCTTGGCGAGATTTTGTGTTTCAATATTTGACTACTCTTTTTTTACAGGAGAGGGGGCAAACGAACATACGGCTCACCTGATGGTAAGTGACTACCGCCGCCCATGAAAAACGGCCTTTTAGAAAGGAGTAAGCTCTTTTCTTGAAGGTCCCTAAGTCGTATCGGTTCAAAAAAATCGCCGTTGGTAAACTATTTCACAAAGAGATCGTACGTGGAAGAAAACTCCTAGTGAAACGTATAGTCGTGGACCGCCAAGCATCCAGATGGTGTGGATGTAATCGGGAGTTTTGCCGCGATGTGCGTTCATGAAATTTGGCGGCTGGGATTAATCTAGTAATTAATAGAGATTAGAGTCGCGATTCTACCACCGGTCAGTGCAGTCGCATTATAAATCATAATAATGTAGCGGCTCTAATGCCGAACATACAATATTTTCGCATACCTACTGCGCGAAAATAATGCGAAATGGCGTGTCAACCTAAACGCTCCGATATCGTCGTAGTCCACGAGTTCCTGGCCTTTGTTCAATAAAAATTGAACGTTATGTACCAGGTGTCACTGGAGCAGATAATGATGATCAGATTCATCGAGGACGAGCTCATCCAAAAGAAGAAGGTGTTAGCAGATTCAGCCGTGACCCAAATCCGTCTTATCACACGTCACAGAGATGAACGCGGTAAGAAAGACCTGCAAGACATCTTCAGGCTGTTCAGTGAGACCGATCCTAATGACATCCCAACTTTCGCCGCGCGTGATCTCAACAAGCTGCCTCTCTTGACGTTCGATCGCATACACGTGACAAGATTATTAAAAGACGTTACGAAATTGAAAGCCGAAGTCACCGACCTCCGTTTCAAATTTGAAGGATCGGAGCTGAGGGACGCAGTCACTATGTTGCTCAACATAATTGTAACATCTGCGAATTCACTGCCGTCGCAGAATGTAAATACGACACGCGGTAACCGTAATAGTAGTCATATTTCACCGATGATTGCGACTCCGTCACGCGATACCTTCTGTCAGCGGGTGGATGACCGTGAAACTAGGCGACCTCGGTCGTCGTTGCATCACCATGTCAGCCATTGACTGAACCTTTGGATACTCCTCCGCTGAACCCAATGTCTCAACAAGGGAAGACGTTTGCGGATGTTGGCCGAAAATCTTCAAACCCGGCCCCCTTTTGTGATCGAAAACGAAAGAGATAATAACGGGTTTACTCTTGTTGAGAAGAGACGTCGGTGGAGACCCGTCTGTGACCAGGGTGGGACTGTCAAAATAAATGCAAGTACAACTCACCAAAGAAAGCTCCCTAAATAGTGCTATATATACATATATATATGTGATAATTTAGCCCAAAGCTCAATACAATCCTTAATGAAGTCAGGGGCTCAGGGACCTTCATTACAGACTAGCAAAAGAACGCCTCCCTTTAGATTGCCACGTTCAAGCCACAACTACACCCCTTAGGTCCTGGGTAGCGAACCTATGATGTGTCGTAATTAAGAAGTGTAGACCTGTCCTTATAAAAAAAAACTTACAATGAGCATTTTGCAGGCGTCAGTGGCGTTCGTTACAGGTGCGGCGCCGTCTGTAACAGTGTCCTGCGCGTGCTCGGGTGTCCGGCCGCTCCATTTCCGGCTTGGCCCACTTGCTGGCGTCGGCGTCACCCTTAAATCCGTCAAGCCACGCTCCCAATCTACCACAGATTCCTGAAAAATAAAAAGTTTTTTTATTACATAGTTCTCGTAGTAATTTTTTCTACTTCATTTAATAAAAAGGAATTTATCAAAGATTCTGTTACTACAGATATTTGGATTAAAGCGGAATAATGGTGAGATAAGAGAAAGCTTTTTTGTGACAACACAACCTCCGATATATATACGGGATCGGTATTATCAAATGACCTAAAATATATCATACTATTTACAATAATCTGCGGTTATGGTATTAGCTGTCTGGCGCTGCAACCGCCTTCCCAAGCGTGGCGTTTGGGCGAAACCTTCCTTGGGAAACAATACAATCCTATACATTTAAACGAGCAATTCTTGTATATATATATATATATATATATATATATATATATATATATATATATATATATATAATCGGAATCTCGGAAACGGCTCCAACGATTTTCATAAAATATAGTGTCCAGAGAGTATCGGGGGCAATAAATCGATCCAGTTAGGATTTATTTTTAGAAAATGTTCCTTTGTGTTTCCGCTGATGGTGCTGATATCGGTGTTCCGTGGTTCGCGTCCCGTCTTGAGTCCGACTTTTTTTCCTTTTTTTTTCAAGTTCCCTTCTTTTTGTGAGAAAATCTATTATTTCGAGCCCTTTTTTTTAGTATTTTTTAAAAAATACGAAAATTTTAATTAATCTTGCACTCATGATTTTTTTATTCAAATAACCAGTTCAGTTTTTCTATTATGTCAATAAGATCAAAAACTATTATTCATGTAATTTGTATATAAATGTAACTTAAAAAAACGGTCATCCGGGTACTTTGAAATAATTAGCATCGTTTTAAACTAAGAATAGGTATAAGTACTCATAATACAAACTGCGTTAGCTAAAATAACGCAAATACATGTAAAGTTTTAATATAGTGGATACGTAAAACATTACAAATCATAATATTAGTAATTTTTAGGTGATCGTTGTACCAAATAAACACGAAAAAAAATATCAATATATGTAATATAAGTACTTGTAGCACGTATCGAATGACCTCAACCGGAGAAGGAACACGCACTCACAGGATACCATCGTAAAATAGTGGGTTATTGTCGCTGTGTTTCGTATGGTGAGTGTGGAGAACCGGAGACCATTTTTACTGGAAACGAGGCATTCCATCTCAGTTTTCGGGAGTGATAAAACATTTAAATTTTTATTCGAAAATAGATGTAATCTCTATGAGCCACAGCATTCACCATCATTTTGATTATGTGCTCATTTTCACCCATATTTTATAAAAAAAAAATATATATATCGGTAACATGCAACAGCCAGGACAAATGCAAATCCAAGGTCACATGTATTCAAAACATATTAAACAATGACGTAAGTGTCTCCGAGCAACATTCACCAGAGATCGCGACATCTTGGTTATTAAACAATTAATTCTACTTCTAAGAGAAAATGTTTTGAAATCGTGTTTTTGATAGTGGTAACAAAATATTAAAGATGAATAAAACATAATGTATAAATATAAAAACCATAGATATTATTTCTCGTTATGCAGACATTCAAAAATACCACAAATTCTCGAGGTCCCCTTAATTATTTCTTATTTTTCGTGTCTTTACTAATCAAATTTAAAAGTTAAAAGTACGTCTCACTGCTGGGCACAGTCTCATCTCAGAAATGAGAGGGTTTTAAGAAAAGGAGATGTACCCCGCGGTGCCTCAATGCGTGTTGACGAACTTCACATGTCTTTGAAGTATTTTTTTTTTATATAATTTACTTTCTTATATTTCTCAATATAAGTATAATAAAGGTTATATTAATTCCAATAACTTAATTTTCAACCTGCGGGATCTAGGATAGATTTCACGAAATTCCCATAATAATCACGGGAGGTGTTCCGCGAAGTGTTTGTCTCCCCACGCAAGATGTCATTACACGAAATTCCCATAATAATCACGGGAGGTGTTCCGCGCAGTTTTTGTCTCCCCACCGCAAGATGTCATTACAAGTATTGTATTCTCTTGTGGCTTTTCCGTTGAATAAACTTTTAAGATATTTTAAAAGGTTAAGGTAAACCCACCCTGGCTTTGCGGAAATCGTCACACTTGCCAGAACTCTCGCGTCTTTGACGTGGCTGCAGTCGCCGGTCCTAATTTTTTACATTAGGCACACACTTTATAAAATAATTTTTATTCAATTTAGATTACAATAATAGTTATGAAAAGTTATTTAAGTTTTACCAGTGGGTCGGAAGAAACCTCTGTCGTGAGACAAACCAGTTTAGGAGCTGACTCCATAGGGGGTACCCCTATGGAGTCAGCTCCATATTGGTGACCATAATGAAAGATGAAATAACTTTTGTTAATATTTATTATAGAGGAACGTGCAATACAGTTGGCGGGCAACTAGTGACTAACTGAAAAATCTTAGTCACTAAGTATATAGATACAACATTGCAAAGTATACATGTGTGTATGTGTGTGCGCAGCACACCTACACCAGCAAAAAAACTCAGCGGGACTTTCTTTTTTAAATAAAATTAATTTACGAAATATCATTTTATACAACGAGTATGAAAACATTTAGAAACAGCATGGTAGCGATCGTCTCATTCCCAGGGTTAACCTTACTAAACAATTTTTGCTCAACAAAAACTTTAAACTTTTTGATAGATAAGGCCTGCATATTTTCAGGGGGGACTTTGTTGTAAATGCGTATACCTTGCCTCATGAAGGAATTACTGACTCTTTCTAGTCGAATAACTGGTATAACTACTTAGAACATACTATTATTTATTCTATGGTGTAACTAACTCGTGCTTGTTCCTAGCATTTACAGAATGTATATCACAATTATTATTATTTTGTGTACATACATTAAATATTCTTAAAATGAAATTCTAATTGAATCTGTTGTACCTCCATTTACGTTATTTTTATTACATCAATTGTTTGCGACGGTTGCTTATCAGCCATATCTCTGCATTCAAAATTGGGTATTGTACCCAAACATAAATATGTATATAACAACATAATGACGTTAACATTTTAAGATAATAGGTTATTCCCCGTTAGCCCGTAATTAGTTCCAAGAGCGAAACGTTTCCATTATTTAATATTGATATATGAGTATGACTGTAATATAAATTCATGCACCTGCTGAATTAACTTTTATCAGTAATACATTGTCATATGTTTGAGCTTATGTGTCACTTTAATTTACGTTCATTGTTATGATGATTTGAAGATGGTAAAAGAATGGTAAATTATTTGGCATAAAGACCAAATCATTTAAACTTGTTTAAATGTTTGGAAGAATAGTTTCACAGAAGTTATATTCGTCATTTGTTTTTCAAACGACATGAAGAGACTATTCGAACAAAAGACCGCAACAATATCTTTAAATTAAAAAAATAGATTATTTTTGCTCGCTTCCGAGTTTGTTTTGTTTGTTATGATAATAGAATTACATTCATTAGTCATGCTTTATAATATAGAAACGAGCAAACAACCATTCCATCAGATGTTAAATAGTACTGTTTATTGCAGTCCGTGGAAACCTGTGTTCAAATTTAAACAAAGGCCACAGACGTGGTGGGACCTACACGAAATACCACACAGTCTGTAATTAACTCAAAAAGAAGTACGACAGTGGGTGCATTTCTTTAAGGAATATAACACTAATTTATAATTATTAATATGCCATTAAATACGTAACTGCATACATTGAGGTATTACTACTACGTATAGAGAAGACAACGCTTTGCATGATTTTGCGCCACGCTTTGCGGTACACTGTACCGCAACTGTTTAGTGAGTGCCCAACGCCCGCACAGACGATTCATGTTCGCTTCGCATAAATAACAACTTCAAAATGCCTGGTTGTGTTCTTAAAGACTGCAGTAAAAATCATCCAAAAAAGTGATGGTTTAACATTTCGTCGGTAAGTAGACATTAAAACGTTTAAAACTCTTTAATTTAAAGTTTTTTGCGTTGTCACAATGCTCACGAGAATCAGGCAAAATGTAAAATGGAGCGACTTTTTGTACACTACGTTGAACGCTACGCTTATGACGTTTTGGTCGCGAGATAACTTAATCCCTAATGCAAACTAACGCTGCATGTTTTAATAGTTTGGTTAGACGTCTAGCGCTGCAGCGAACTTTAGTTCTAACTCTTACCAAATTGAAACAATTTTTGGTTTGGGGTGTCTGTTTTATTTCTATATGTTAGTAATATAGTTCGATGACTGCATAACTTTCAAGATTTGCTCAATACTCACTACACTGAGCTGTCTCACAGATCGGTGAGCGTAGCAATGATGATAGTGATTCCATCGCAAGTATATAACCTATTTTGGTTAGACATTTCAAATGGATTTATCGCTATTATTCAATTGCCAGAATCTTGGTTAATCTTTAACAGAATCCATGTTGTGTGACGTTGATATTTGGAGAAGCTAGTTATATAAATAAACTACATAAATACACCTAGCAAGCAATAAGTAACAAATCAAGGTGATTTGACCAAACATACAATTTACTCAGATCATATCTAAACTTGAACCGACAAATCGAATTGATTGCGTATGCAGAAAACGATTCTTGATTTGAATAAAGATTTCAACCTGCATTAACATTAAATAGCAGCGTCTTAAAATTGAATTTTTATTTAATAAAAAATTGCGTAGTTCAATTTAAACAATGGCATGGCACGTGTGAATGGAATTTAGTAGGTAACTCTTGACGACACAAACCTGAGCTTCGCGCAATATGGCCGACAGGTGGTACAACTACGGCCAATCCTGAATTATATATAGAATTCATTAACAACAACCTTTGTCATAATGTTTTTATCCGTCGACTATTAATTGAATGACGAAGTTTGTAGTAAATTGTTAAAAAAAAAAATTATAATTATACCTTTATTCTATATTTTATATATTTGTTTTTCCGGGCCTTTTGTTCTTCCGGCCTCATACATACGGAATTCCGTTTCGGAAAGGATAAAAAAATACTGCG